AAATACCCGTTGGTGGAGGAATGTCCTGGAGCCTGTAGGTCTTGGACATGTGCATTAGAAATCATCCTGATCCCCATCTTAAGCTTTGAGTATGAGTTTTAATATCCCTGCCAACATTTATGTTAATAATAACTATTATAACTGTGGCTTGACCTTGTTCCTCATGTTCTCCACCCTCTCCTTGCCCAGTTTAGACTAAAGACTAGCTAAGTTAATTCATGGATTAAAGTCACCCTATAGGGAAAGGTATTCTTTTTCATCTATAAATTGCCGCATTCTAATTTAGGGCTCTCACTGATTGTGTACAGGCCACCACAGTACCACTCCGTCATCATCTCCCATCACCCTAAGCATGTGACAGCACTGACAATCCTTTAAATCTGAAATAAAGAAAAGTACCTGGAGCCATTTCTGCCCGGTGAGTTGCTCAGGTGTTGCTTGACAGTGAATGTTTCCTCCTTTCATCTAGGCTGGGAAAGGTAACTGTTGAGCTGCCCCTTATATAGCAGGGGGTCTGTTTAAAATGTATGTATGTGTTCAGGATCACAACAACATCTCCATATCTTCTCCGTGCATAAATGCACAAGTGTTCGCAATGGTGCTACCTAATTGTGGTCATTTATACATAGATGTAAAGGTTGGGGAGGTTGTTTGTGTAGGGATGAAATCGGTGTTGAATGATTTCACCGTGTTCTGCTGTTTATTGCAAATAAAAGTTTCTTGATCGTTGGAAGGCCCATCCCAAATCAGATCAGTGCTTTTACATGGTGGAATTTGCTGTGTCCACCTGACTTTCCTGTCTGGTTCTGCAGCCTTGGCCCACAGTTAACAGGGCTGACTGGCCAGTTTGGGAGACTTCGGACTTAAAACAAGTGGGATGTTTTCCCCTTTATTGTTAGTGGGAATAGAGCTAGATGGACGTTGTCAGATGAATCCTATTTCTGCCAAGTAATTTATTTCAATTTCAACCAAAGTTTCAGAAGTTCAGCAACTAGTTTTGGTGAGCTGGTTTGCTCTGGGTGTGACAAAGAGCTGTCATACCCAGGTGCTTGTTCGGGTACCAGCCTGCCCACTGCAAATCCTGATGCCAGAGCTCTGCGAGGTTTCTTACGTCCTCAGCTGGACAAGGCTATGAGAAGATCTGGTTCTGAGCATCTTCCTGCTCTTGCCTGAGATGCAAACTTGAAATATCTCTGGATCAAGCAGAGGGCCGGTGTAGAAAGGAGGTAGAGGAGATGGGGAAGAGGAGAGGTCACAGCACACCTATTCCTACTTTTGAGCAAAACAAGACAGAACCTGGGATGGGCAACTCCAGAGGGTGCTTAAAGGACTATTACTCCCCATACAACACCGACTGCCCCAGACCACCCTGTTTTGGCCCTTTGTCCGGGGTTCAAGGACTGCTCCCTAGTCAGGGGTGGTGATTTGGCCCCCCTGGTGTGGCTCCGGTTTCTGAGAGGCAGCATCATCACCAGGGTGGCTGGAGCAGAGAGTGCAAGAGCTCATTAATAAACATGTTGGGGAGAGCGCGGTGTGTTCTGAGAAGCCCCCGGGTGTTTGCTTGCTAGAGACATGGTGGTGTCGCAGAGTAAATGTCAGCCCCGAGAGAAGAGGGAACAATGGGTCCTGCAGCTATCAGGTATCCTGTCACCCAATAGCCAGCAACATCTGGGTGTGTTTTTCTACTCCGGATCGTGTTTAAATATGTCAATATTTGTCAGAGATGAGCAGAGCAGCAGGCACCCCAACCCAGCCCAGGCTTTGCTGCCTGTTAATGATGATGCTCTACCACTGCAGCTAGATTGGTACAGCACCTCGCACCCGAGTCCTGCCCATCACTTGCTGCCCTGCTGCCTCTCTAGCTCTGTTAGTAAAAGCATAGTGCTAAATCAGCATTTTTTTATATTGCAGCCAAGCACGGAGATGCCAGGATGATCCAGACTGTGTGTTGCCCCAGAGGCTTGGTTTGTCCCCCATCATCTCTGGACACCAAGTGAAGCAGAAGTGTCATGGAGAGGGCAGTGCGTGACTGTGAAATGCTGGGCTGGGCAAACAGATGCCACTGGCAGAATTACAGTTGCATAAGCAGCTCTGAAATATCAGCTCGGCATTTTTCTAGCTTTCATATGCCTGCATTTGCCACCTGAAGTAGCATCTCTAAAGCAGCGTGGCACTGTAATTTCTAAGTTCCTTTTCTTTTTTGAAAGAGGGAAAAAAAAAGTTCAGTTCTCATCAGGGTGGTCCCATGTCCACCCACGTTACTCTGAGCATCACCAGCAGCATCTAAATAGGTGAAGTGACTTTCCTTGCGGGCACGTATACTTTCGGGGTCCTGGTGACCCCCCCAGCCTGGGGTGGTTGTGTGGAGAAGACCTTCCCAGGCTGATGGATGAGCTGCAACCAGTGAATCCTGGCGGAGGAGTCAGCTGCTGGCAGACAGCCCAGGCTCTGTGCTTTGGTGGGCAACGACATGGTTGACAGAGGTGTTAAGTGACGGTTGACGACCTCTGCTAACTCACTAGTTGGAAGGTAAATATTCCTTTTTAGATTGAATCGATGGGGTTTATTTACTGGAGCTAGAACTCCTCAGTGTCACTGAAATGAGGCTGAAGAGGTCCAGGACTGCAACCCAGTCTGTCTGCTAGACCATCCTGCTGATGGTAGCGATACAAATCAGGACAAAATACAGAACCTGGGCTGTACATACTGAAATAGATTTATTTACACTAAATGCATTTTAAATACAAACCTATCTTGGTATAAAATTAAACCAAACCCTAACTCTAGGCTTCCTAGAAACTAGTCTAAGCGTTTAAAATTAAACACTAACACTGCAGAAATATATTTTTTCTTCTGGCTTTTCAAAGGAAGCCAAAACCCTGGGCTAAGAGGGTGGCCAAGCGGCAGGGCGGAACTAGGGTCGACGAAACTGCTTTTGACATCAGTGGTTTCCTCTCCAGGTGCAAACAGCAGATTCTCCTTATTTTCATGTTATTCTGTTAAGTCAGTTGAGCGAGTTGTTTATGCAGAGCCAAGAAAGCGATTGGGAACTGGGAAGGCCAGAAAATTTGCCTTCCTCTTCCATTTTGTAACTGAAAACAAAGGATGGAGGCATGAGCTCTGCTAGTCCTAAAATCTTGGCAAACGTGGAAACCGGGAACAGCCAGTTCACTTCCCTCACTGTGAATACTCCTTTCTTTAATCAATTTTATAAGTAAAACATGTTTAAGTAACTTTTATATACATGTGTGTGCAACTAATTTGGGATAGTTTTATTCAACCAGTAAAAAAATCAACCTGAAAATGCTGGGTTTGTGCTATTTAGATTGAATTCCAGCTTTCCATCAAGGTGGTTTACTGGTAAACAAGAGCCATCCTGTTCCCTGCCAAAAAGCCCCTGTTTGCGCACGATTTTACCCTCCGTTTTCTGCTGGCTGTTTTGGGAAGCGGAACAGGCCTGTCTGCTTCTCCTTGGAGCTCAAAATGTTGTGAGTTGTAGGGGTGCAGGGGCCCTGGGCTCTCTGAGGGGGGACAGACCTTCAGCCACACAGTCTTTGTCACCCCCTTCTCCTGCCTCGTCCATCCAAATGCACCAAACCCACCGCACGGTGCTAGCCGTGCCTCTCCGGACCCCCCTCCGAGCCCTGGCGTTGGGTACCCGATCAACCCTGAGCCCCATCACCTACACAGCTGCTGCTGCTGCCGTGCCATGCCAAATCAGTTTTTATTAACAAACCTAATTAGCACTGCTCTGCTCCTCTCCAGATGTTTTTTAATTTCTCTTGTGAGACCAGATGTAACTGGGAATGGAGTTCCTGGCCTTGGGCCCTGTTCTCCTGCTTTGGATCCTGCCGATGGTCTTTGTCTCTCATCCCAATCTGACGTCTTGGGACCGTGGAGATCCCCGGTGTGCATGCTCAGCGAGAGCTTCCAGGAGAGCCCCATGGCTGCTTTCGGTTTTATATCCCTGCCTGTGCTCAGGGCTCTGACGAGGTGAAGTTTGGTTTCTAGCTAACTGGCCCCATGCAAAGCTGCTCCTTATTCCCAGGGCATCCCACCGACACTGGGACCAGGGTTATGGGACAGCCTCCGGACCAGCCACGGTGGGAGGGAGCAGGATGTGAATTTGCCTATTACCTTTATTAGGACTTCAAAAAGCAGTTGGGCGTTTTGTGTCCCACAATTTACATCTTTCCCATAGGTTCTGAGGTCACGTGTCCCTCACCATAGGGACATCCTCTTGACATGGGCCAGCTCCTGCCTGGAGAAGAGCAAGCCTTGTGCAAGACCCTCTGGGCGAAAGCTGTCTCCTCACCTTTTCCTGTAGTCTTTGGGGAGAAAAAGGTGCTTTTGGAGGATCCTCCATCTCAGACAACTGCCAGCTTGGCCTAAAAAAACCGTGGCTTGAGAGCTAAACAGTGGTCCAAAATCCACTTCTCAGAATACCAGCATGATTCTGCTCGCCTCGGCTCCTCTGCCAGGGCTGCCGTGGGGTCTCGCAGCCCAGGAGGTCCTTGTGGCACAGAGGGTGATCCTGCCTGGTCCTCTCCTTCCCAGGGATGGTGGGGCTGGAGGTGACCCACCACCCACCCTGGTAGTTCCATTGCATTAACCATGCAGGAGCTCAGCACCATGGTGTAGGGCTGCCTGGGGTGTGGGGCCAGTTTACTACTGGGGCAGGAGGGATTGTAGGTGGCTCCTAATTTCTATATAGGCTTTAGGGGTTCATCAGCGGGGTGGTAAGAGCAACAGCTGGGGCAGGGCAGCCTTGGTGGGCACAGCCCGGATAGGACAAAGCGAGCACCCAAGGGTAGCAGGACCCGAGCTCCACGCAAGGCTGCTGGAGGTGGTTTGCAGCCTGGGATCGCAGCCTGGGATCCAGGCACCCGTCAGAGCCGTGGTCCAGGGCAGGAGCCAGGGGCCCGTCCCTGCAGGTGCTGGCAGGGTGCTGGCAGAGAGCCTTGCCGCTGGTGCTGGCCTGGCGGTGGGCACAGGACCCCTCACTCTTCACCCGGGTGCTCCCCAACTGTCCACTTGGCCTTCACGTCCCGGAAAGGAGTGATGTCCTCGTAGGTGGCCATCTGCTCCACCTCCAGGCCCTGCACCAAGAAGAAGGAGGTTGAGACATGGGAGAGGCACCATGGTTTCATCCACAGTGCATCTCCACCTTGGGACCCCCAAGTGGAGACCCATCTCCAGGCTGTTCCCCCATAGACGGGAGCAGCTTCTGAGAGGGGAGAAGATGGAGAGAGATGGCTGGATGTGCTCAGGGCTTGGCTTGGCTTTATGAGCAGCTCTTTAGGGCTGATGTGCAACAGACATTTGGGAGGAAGATGCCCTGATGTGCCCTGCAAGGGCTGGTGGTACCTAGCAGACACCCAGCAAGGGCACAACTGGCTATTTCAAGGCTTAGGTTGATATTACAGAAGTACTTCTATAATTAATGCAGCATTACCTCATAGGTGTGGTCTTCCTCCGGGCTTTCTTTGCCTTCACCCTATGGAGAGGAGAGTCACAGGCTGGGTGTCAGCACCCACCAGGATCCCCTGTTCCTGACTTTGTCCCCCCAGGCCAGGTCTCACCTCTTCCACAGGCAAATCCATGCAGTCCCACACACCATTTTAGGTGCTTATTTTCCCATTTCAGCCACCCACGCTCCCATGCAACCCAGTGCTTACCCACCCCCATCCCTAGCAGTGGCCTGCCTGGGACCCAGGACATTGCTGTGAGCACAGCAGCGGCAAAGTTGGGGACATCCCCACTGCTGGTGAAGCTGTCACTTACTTTATCTAGGAAGAGGAGCATGGGAACGCTGATGAAGATGACAAGCAGGATGGACTGGATGATGATGATGGCGTCTTTCAGGGTGTTCCTGCTCTGGAGCTGCTGGATGTTACTATGACCTGGGAGCAGCAGCACAGAGAAAGCCCCAAGTCCCACCTCTGTGCCAGGCTCCTGGGGAACAGGGATGAGCTCGGCATGGCCACAGGTTTTTGTGTCACCCAGAGCAGATGGGGGGGACTAGGGTGATATGCCCTCCCCCTTGGGAGAGACCAGACATCGCAAACTGTCCCCGGGGTTGGCATCAGGGACCAGCTCTGGGATAAGACACCTTGGGCAGGACCCACCACTAGCCAGGACCAGGGAAAATCTGATTTGTTAGAGGAATGCAGTCCCTGGGAAGTATTTCTGTGGGATGGACATGCCAGGGCAAACTGGGGGAGGTTGTCTTGCTACTTGGTGGCTGGCAATGAAGAAAGAAACATCTGTGGTGCCATGGAGCATCTACAGTTGTATCTGAAGGGCTCCCACCAGCATGGGGAGGGGTGCGTGCATAGGAACATGATGTGAGGTTCATATGGAGGAGGAAAGGGTGGAGAGAAGAAGAAAGAACATCTCCTGGGGTGCATGGAGGATGAGGAGCTCCCACTCACCCATGACTCTGAGCTCTGTCGCGCACAAATGTGGCTGCTTCTTCTCCCCCGTAAGGTTCTTGCTGTCACACACGTAGATGCCGTTGTCATTGTAGGTGATCCTGAAGATGGTGAAGTTGATGAATTTGTCTTTCCTTTCAATGCTGTAGTGGGAGGTGCTGCGATCCAGCACGTAGAGGTTATCACTGTCCTCTGCCATTTTGTACCACTGCATGCTATTCGGCTCCTGGGAGTAGCAGATGAAGTGGACAGGCATGTTCTTCTTGGCCGCGATGTAACGTGGGTGCTGATGCACCATCGGGCATCCACTGCCTGCCAGGGGACAAGGATGGTCATGGAGAGCAAGGATGCTGCACCCGTGGAGCATCAGAAAAAAAGCTGCTTCCATGAAACTCCCTCCCAGCACCTCTCAAATCAAGAGCTTTCCATTTTCATGGATTACACTGCTTTTGAGCATTCAGCTTGGTTTTGGTGAATCATCATCGTCTGGGTGTAGAAATCAGAAACTTTGGTGAAAACATGCTTTTCATGGAAACTCCAATTTTCTGTGGGAATGGCTTCACTCAAATACTTTTTTGCTGTTCACACCCCTCTATATGCATATCTTGTTAGTCTCAGCTCCAAAATTAGAGCCTGTGCTGGCACGCCACAGAGCCTCTGCTAGAACACACCTATCTCCCCAACTGGCTTCTCTCATGCTTCCATATTTTTTGCATTTTGCTGTATTTTGTATTTTTGCCTATGTTTTGGTCCCAGAACTGGGAAGTCTGAGGCCTTATTTGGGTTGCAGAGTTCATGCTTAATACCCCATGGATGGGAAAGGCACAAGCGCTGTGTGCATGAGCCCCAGTGCCAGGTCCCGAGGCACGGCTTGTTCATGCAACATGCTCTGCAAATGCAGCAGAAAAAAGTGTGTGTGCTCAGAAAAGACAAAAAGGATCCAGTTTTGCAGAGGGAGAGCAAGGTGCAGGGCTAGGGAAACACCATGGAGGAGGTCACAGCCTGGGAACTGCCTTTGTGATGGAGAAGGTCTGTGGGTGATGGGACATCTCCATCTCTGCAGAGGACCAGCACCTGCATGGCATAGCCAGTAGGGATGGGAGGGACCCTGGAGACAAAAAATAGCCTGGTGGTTCTGGGAGGTTTCCTGTGCTGATCCTGGTGCTGTTCTTGTCTGCTGAGATCCCACCTGCAAGACAGGAGAAGGGCCCTGAGATAGTGGCCAAGAGCCCATGTAGGATGTCCCACGGGGGATGGCATGTACCGTGGGTCCTTCGTACCCACTCCATATGGGATGGAGTGCTTGGGAGCATCAGCCACAGCCCCGCTCAGAGGACATGGGGCAGCGCAGGTTTGGGTACAAACCACTCTATTTCTGTCCCATCTCCTGAATCTTCTCTCAGTAATTTACTTTCTGGTTGACATCCCAGTGAAACTTGCCTTCGCTATTAATAATCCCCTAGGCTGGCACCTCTCAGAAGGGATCCAGACAGACTCACGCCTCTTTATTTACGCTCTCCAGTTTCTGAATCAACCAGAAACACTTTCCCTGCCAGGGCTTCCCTGGGCTTGGAGCCCTGTGATGGCCAGGGCAGGTTCTCAGACCCTGGGACCACGCAGCCCCCTGGGACAAGGGCTGGATGGAGCTGTGGGACCTGTGATGCAGTGCAGGAAGTGAGGTGAGGTGGGGACCCCCCCCCAGCACCCATGGGTGCCCCTAACCGCAACTCCAAGTGCCCCTGTGCCTCGGTTCCTCTTGCTGCAGCTGGGCAGGAAGCACCAGCCCTGTTTACCGCACCGCTTCAGTGCCCAGCTTCGTCCGACTGACGAATATTCGCCAGACCCCACCATGGGGAAGCTGCCATGGAGGTGGGGGCTGCACCACCTCCCAGCATGTTGGAACAGCTCCAAAACTCCCCCCAGAAGAAGGAAGATTCAATTCCCCAGCCTGAGCTTTGCCACCCTGCTGCAGACCTTCCTTCCCCGAACAGCAGCCCGGCAGGGACCTCCTGGCTCAGCCGTGGGCTCCCTTCCCTGCCCCAGAGCCTCTTCCAGGTCCATGCTGCCCTGTTCACCCCCAGCACCTACATCTCTGCAGACAAACTCTCCCCTCCAGCCCCATTTAATTTTTTTCTGAGATGAGGAGATGCGCCTTGTGCAGGCTGTGCGGTGGCTACGTATCCCTGCCACCTGCGGTCCTACTGGCCAGCTGGGACACGAGGCTTTGCTCTCCAAGTTCTGTTGGTGTTTCTAAATGAAGACCACGCTGGTCCCTCACCCTGAAAGCCCTCACACCCCTCAAAGCCAAGATTTCCATTGCAACTGGCTGAGCTTCCCCTGTCCTCCCTTGAAGCCACCATGAGAGCCACGGTGAAACCCTGAGACCTTGCATCCATGCTGGACTTGGGTGGCCACCCAAGAGAAACCTTTTAAATGTCCTTTCTCCTGAGGGCATGAGTATCCCCAGCCAAGGGTAGGATCTGCTGCAGGTTTTTGCGGATGCCCCTGCATCAAGCAAGAGGGGTTGGAAGGGGACAGGAGCTGTGTCCTGGGTTTAGCTGCTGCTTCTCCATGGGGGTGCAAAGGTGAACAGCACCGGGATGTTTGCACAGAGATATTCACAGAGGGCCCACAAATCACCCCCAAAAGCCTTCTTCCTCTCATTTCTCCTCCTCTCCCGGGCACTGAACCTCACGGAGCAAAGGGATGTGGCTTGGCCATGGCCTCAGCAATGGCTGGCCCCATCCTCAGGCCTCTGAGAGCCACAAATGTCATAAAAACCCCAACAACCCTTCTTTCTTCCCACCTGCAACCACAGCCGGGCAGGCTCTGCAGCCGCTCGGCACTGGGCTCCTGCCAAAGCCAGCTGACTGCCCAAGAAAGCGTCCCATCTCTGCACCCCTCCCTGCACCCCAATGGGAAGCAAAACACAAAACCCAAAGCAGACATCGAGTGCCGAGCCCCCGTGGGTCCTCCCTGGCTCCTCTGTGCCTGGGGCTGGCTTCCTGCACAAAGCAGGACTGAGTGCAGCGATTGCAAAGTTTAAAATTAATGCATTTAAAGCCAGATCTGAGTGAAGCCCCTCATTGCACTAAGCAAGGGACGCATGCCGGTGCATCGCCCGGGTGCACGTTTCTTTGCTCTGCAATGCAAAGCCCATGTTTGATGCCTACCTGTGACCAGAGTCATCAGCCAGAGATTTGCCTGGAGCACCCAGAGCCTCATGCAAAGATGAGCCATCTTTCACTGCAAATGGCAGGGAAACATCCAGTCGCTGCCCCTCGCTTCTGCAAAAGCAGCAGCCGCTCCGACTGACTTGGCCTCTGTACCTAAAAATGGCAAAGCTGCTGCTCCGTGAGATGGCCCCTTTCCTGCTCATGTAAATCTTCCTCAACGGGGACTTTCCCCTTGGGGCCAGTTTTGAATGCAGCGCAGACACTGGGGCAGCCGGTGCCTGCGCCCTGGGCACCGTCCAGCCTCGTGTCTCTGGGCTGTGCTCGTCGTGGTGGTGATATTTGATGGAGGTGACCACGACTGGTGTGGGTCTGCACCAGAACTGGAGATGAGCCCATCTGCAAAGCACTCGGTGATGCAAAACCTGGGCTGAGCCCAGGGGATGTGCCCAGGGAGCAGGATGTGACTGCTGGCACTGCCACATCCCTGAGGAGGGGTAGAGGATAGGGGTTGCCCCCAGGGTTGTACCCCAGCTGCATGGCAGCGTGGGCAGATCCATCCCCCAGTTTAACCCTGCAGGTGATGGGCAGGGGTTGATGCTGGATGAGCTGCAAGAGTTAGAGCAGGAACGGTGTGGGAAGAGGGGATGTTTGTGGGGTTTCTCCTTCTCCCTGCTCATTGCGGGGTGCAGTGGAATTGGTCCGCAGCATCCCAGAGAGTCCTCACAGCTGCCCTTCCAGGGAAGGGTGAAATCTGGAATAGAAGAGAGATGGTCAAAACAAGCTCTCACCTCCCTTGGTGCCAGCCATGCCCACTCCTTCTCCACCCCCTGTTTGCCATGACCAAGACCCTTCTCCATGAGTCCTTTGAAGACAATCACTCCCTGCAGAAGCACAACGTGGCACCGCAGTTGTGAGCTCTGTCCCCCTTTGCTCTGACACAGAAATATGGTTTCCCTCCATGCCGTGCCCTCCGGCTGCTGCACGTTACCGGTTGCGGGCAAGCACTGAACTGTAACTCCATGTGAAAAACACCTTTGGGTACTTTTGCCAGCCGTTTTGGTCCCCAGAGCCTGGGTGTCTCTGCCTTGGGCCTCCCCAAACCTTTACATTCTGCAGGTTTGGTGGGGTTTTTTGCTGGTTCTGAGCATCCTGTGGCTGCTGGGAACCAGCCTGAGCTTCACCTTGTGTGCAAGGGGACATGAAGCAAGAAGGAGGAGAAATAAAGCTTGCTAGAGAAAGACTGGCCCCAGAAAGGAAAGACAGATGATGGGAGAGGTGCCTTCTCCTGGTAGAGCAGGCAGGTCATGCCGTGCACGGTGCTGTACATTTGGGCTGTGCTATTGAGTCCCTGCTGCCATCACCTCTGGGCTTGCTGGAAAAGCACAGCCCGGCCGTGACATCCCGGCAAGGCAAAAGCGATGGGGGATGCCCATGTGCTCAGCAGGGACTGGAGGGATTTTTATCCAGCCCTGGTGTTGTAGACAGGAGCTGTGATGAGCGAGGCAGGGATGCTGGAGGTGCCTGGGAAAGCCCCGTAAGGCAAAACCAGGAGCGGGGCACAAGCTAAAGAGGGTTTACAGTGACAGTGGCCAAATTACCCCCCTGAGCTGCTTGCAGGCTCCTTGGCACCCTCGAACAGGCACAGACCTAGTCCAGAGAGGCTCGGTCTCCCCTTGAAGTCCCCTATGCTTGCAGTACCCAGTGGCATGGGACGTAGGGAGACCTGGTGGTCTCACAGGGAGCATCCTGTGTCCCCATGTCTCTTCCCCTGGGCCACCCTGGCTCCTCAGCACACAGCCAGGACATGCCCTGTGGGCAGAGCAGAGCTGCTGCCAGGCAGCTGCACCCTTCCCCAGCCCATTCCTATTCATCAGGGCTTGGATTTCACTGCTGTCCTTTCTCCCTGCCACGGGAGGACAGGGATGGTGCCTTGTGCCACCTTCTCCCTCCAGCCCTCTGCCTGCGCAGGTACCACGATGCTCTCAACTTGAATTACGCCAGCCCTGGGACGAGCTGTTCCAGCAAGAGCAAAAACACAGCGGTGAGGCCATGCCATGGCCCTCGGGGACGTCAGCGGGTCCCGGAGGCGGCTCCTCCTCCAGCCACACATTGACGCAGAAACCTCCTTCACCCACTGCTGCCTTCTCTCCATGATGCTGAACTGGTCCCACGTGGCTGGTAGTGCCCACAGAGCCTGGGCATGGGGCAGCTCGAGGGGTCTGCACCTCCTCCAAGCCCAACTCTC